TTTTCACACAGTTTTTCAAGGTACAATTAAACGTTCCAAAGCTGATCTGATAAAAACTCTCACTAGAACATAAGCAATTTCAGAAGAATGATGATTTCCCCATTTCAAACCTCAGGGAATGGAAACAGGATAACTTCAGCAATTGTAAGCAGTTGCACTTACTCACACTGGATTCCTGTTCGCTGCACAGAACAGAGTATTATTCCACGCAGGATTCATCTGAGGTAGGATCTGTTTGCTTCTGCCTTGGATAGATGTTACCCCAGCCAAGTCAGGCCACGCCGTCCCGAGAAGCCAGACAGGTTCAGCGGTGCAGTGCTTCGTTCAGGTTCATATCCATCAGTTCTCATCAGGGCTGGTGGGAACATGCAGTGTGAGCCGGGGAAATTGTTCACAGCTAGCCCCGGGTACCCCTGCCTACTACTGCACTGTGCCATGCCAGACGATATCCTCTATGAACAGCCTGAATATTACTACCCCTGAAAAAAATCATTGCAGATACAATAAATCAATTTTTTAAATTAGTACGATCCAGAGAGTTCTATAATGCTCCGCCTGAAATATTTCACAAGGCAGGATGAAGATGAGCTGTTCAGTTTGGGTTGTGTGAACCAGGGGTGGAAGTTTGTCATGAGGCTTTGAAAACCTGGACTCTGTTTCCATTTCTTCCACTTGCAGGTCATTTGCTGTTATGCTTCCTTCCTTCTTTGTTTCTTAATGGAGAGATTCATGTCAGGGCTTCACAGTGTGTTTTATGCATAGAAAGTATCATTCTGGTATATAAGCTTCCATTGGCTTAAGTCACAGCAGAAATGTTTTTAGAAATCCTGAAATAATTCTACTTTTCTCTACAAAAGTTCTGTGTATAAAACCAGTTGACTGTTTTCTGCTGAATTAGATATTTAAAACAAGAAACACTGCCTTAATTTTAAGTTAAAAACAACAGAAAAGCCAATGAAAGAACTTCTTAAGATAAAAAAAAATTAATAATTCAAAAAATGCTAAAAATGTATAGCGGTATTATTGTTAGGATAAAAATGCATATAGTATTATTCCAACAGGCTTTTATAATACACAATTCTGGCATGAACAACTGCTGACATGTCATGATGTGGTAAAAAAAGTAATTAACCTTTCTGCAAAGTAAATCACAGCAGTAACTTAGAACTCATTGAAATAGCTTATCTTCTTTCTAGACCACACAATTCCCTGCTTTTTAATGTGAAATTTTTGCATTAAGATCTAAAACAATATCTCCATCACTACTAATTAATAAAGCCACCTTTTTTATTTATCCAAATGTGCATATTTTTCCTAACTCTTTAAGAAATACTCATAATTTTTTTGTGAACACGTTAAAACCAAAAGTAGGCCCCAAGACTCAATTGCCACGCAGAGCTGAACAGAAGATTACACCATTAGTTTTAAGCAGTTTTTGCTCTCCCATCTCTTATTCTGTGGTCTGTGCAGGTAGAACATGCTACTGGCTCTGACCACACTTCTGAAGTAGGGCAGCGAGAAATGCTTTGTTTGAGCACAGACAAATGGAGTCAAACAATTCTAATATGATATATTTGAAATATGCTTGAATAATAGAACTACTTGATACACCTACTGTTCATATATATAGAAAAATACATTATACCACTATGGCTGTACTCTTGATCTAAATAAAAATTGTCAACATCAGTCTATGTTGCTTTCCCTTCTGAGGCAGGGAGTGGAACAGGACACCGTGAGCAACCACTGAACACACTGCAGATGATTAACAAATCTACTAGTTCAGCATTGATGAAAATGATTTAGACTCTGATCAATTTGCTAATGAACAGAATGCAGCTTTTTACAGCACCAAAACACAAAAATGATTTGCATTGCAGAATGGGAAGTTCCTCCATCACTGACAACAGTTTCACTCTGGAAACATAGAAACATCCCATTATTTACTGGAACATCACATCAGCAATTTACCCCATGAACTACATTTGGTCCAAAGCTCCTATGAAGCAGGCAGCTGTAGTATATTCCTCACACCAGTAGCAGG